GGTGGACCAGTCTGTTACCGGAGGTGGAAGCCATCCGAATTCCACGTTGCTACCTCGGAGGTGCTAAGTGCTCCGAAATCGATTCGCTGGAAGTTCACATCTTTACCGATGCCAGCGAACACGCGTACGGATGCGTGGCGTATTTGCGAGCGGTTGTCAACGGCAATGTTCATTGCAGCCTGATGATGTCTCGAGCAAAGGTGGCACCGATTAAACGTCAGTCAATTCCTCGTCTGGAATTAATGGGTGCGGTTCTGGGAGCCCGTATGAGTCAAACCGTTCTGGACACACATTCGTACAAATTCCTCCGTACTGTTTTCTGGACAGATTCTCGCACAGTGTGTAGCTGGCTGAATTCCGACCAACATCGCTACAAGCAATTCGTTGCATTTCGGGTCGGCGAAATCCAGGAGCTCACAAAGGTTACTGACTGGCGATGGGTGCCAACCAAACTGAACATAGCAGACGTATTGACGAAGTGGGGACAAGGTCCACCTCTTCAAAGCGATGGAATATGGTTTCAAGGACCAGATCTCCTGTACCAGCCGGAGGATCAGTGGCCATCGAAAAAATCAACGTTTGAAGAAACCGAGGAGGAGGCACGAGGTTCTGTGTTGTTCCAAGAGGTGATCAACGTTGAAGCGATTTCTCGTTGGACAAGACTCTTGCGAGTGACGGCTACCATGGTACGCTTCATCGTCAACTGCCGGCGTAAAAAACGAGGTGAGCCGATAGTGACAACATGGGCAACGACGAAGCAACGTCGGCTGATCGAAGCGACAGCGGTGAATTATGTGGCAGTGCAGGTACCACTTGGGCAGGAAGAACTTCAGCAGGCCGAAACCATCCTGTGGCGGCAGGTACAGTGGGACAGTTTCCCTGATGAAATGAGCATGCTCACGAACAATCTGCAGCGCCAGCCGGGTCAGCCGCTTGAGAAGATTAGGAAGAGCAGTTGCATCTATAAGAGTTCACCGGTACTGGACGACGAAGGCGTGCTGCGTATGGAGGGTAGACTGGCGAATTCTGGGGAAAGTTCATTCGACAAGAAGCATCCGATCATCTTGTCCCGGTCCCACGAAATTACGCAGAAACTGATCCAGCACTACCACGAAGCGTTCGGGCACGCGAATTCGGAGACGGTGTTCAACGAAATGAGACAGAGGTTCCATATTCCCAAGATGCGCCCAGCGATCCAAAATGTGATGAACAGGTGCGTATGGTGTAAGGTGAACAAATGCCGTCCAAGATCTCCAAGGATGGCTCCCCTACCAGTTGAAAGAGTCACTTCTCATCTACGGCCCTTCAGCTCCGTGGGCATAGATTACCTGGGTCCGGTGGAAGTAACGATCGGTAGACGAAAAGAGAAGCGTTGGGTGGCAGTATTCACCTGTTTGGCTGTGAGGGCGGTGCACCTCGAAGTCGTGCACAGTTTGACAACTGAATCCTGCCAAATGGCAATCACTCGTTTCCATAGTAAGTTTGGGAAGTCAAATAACATATTCTCCGACAACGCTACATGCTTCCAGGGAGCTAACAACGAGATGGTAAGGATGGAGAGCATCAACCAGAAATGTGCTGAAAGTATGGCCAGTCCCGCTACCGCTTGGCACTTTAACCCACCCGGAACGCCACACATGGGCGGCATCTGGGAGCGAATGGTACGATCGGTTAAGGAGGCGATGCGTGCACTGGACGACGGAAGGAAGCTGACGGACGAGATCCTAGTGACGACGCTGGCGGAAGCGGCCGATATGATCAACATGCGGCCGTTGACCTACTTGCCGCAGGATTCGGTCGAAACTGAAGCACTGACCCCGAATCATTTCCTACGGGGAACGGTGGCCAGTGCCGACAAGCAGGTGGATGGTGGACCTACGGATTTCGCCGAAGCACTCCGAAATATATACAAGCGCTCGCAATATCTTGCCGACAAGATGTGGGAAAGATGGATTAAAGAGTATCTGCCGACGATCAACCAACGGTCGAAATGGTTCGACGAGCAGAAGCCGCTAAACGAGGGCGACTTAGTGTTCGTGGTCGATGGAAAGAACCGGAAGTGGTGGAGACGAGGTATCGTGGAAGCGGTAACCAAGGGTTCGGATGGACGAATCCGACAGGTGAACGTGAGGACCGCTGATGGAAAAGTTCAAAGACGTGGGGTAGTGAATCTAGCGGTGTTGGAGATTCAGTAAATCCAGATTTCAAGCATTACCGGATGTTACGGGCTGGGGTGTTGCAACACCGCAGAGGTGAATCTGGCAACACTGCATAACGGTACTGCAGATTGAGTGCTGCCGTTAAATGTTGACAAATAGGAATGGAGATAAGTAAACAAGATGATAGTATGTAGTAGTAGTGGTAGTAGTAGTAATATAGATAATAGTGAGTGGTAAACATAATTCGCCATCGCAAATATAATCTCGATGTATTATTAGAATATAAACAATTCAGTTCCGCGGTTAAAGTTTATTATTCGAAAATCGTATATAAATAGTGCTAGATTGGTCGCAGGAGGTACAAAAAACGTTCCTTATTTACCGCTAAATCCTGTAAGTAAACGAAAAGGAATAAAATTTAGTTAAGTTAGTGTATGAATGTAAATATTTACCCTCGTTTACTTACCTGCAGCGACGGTCGATCGTGGTGGATACCTGTAAAGGATACATTCACCCAAAAAGTATCTACCATTCCTCGTTGGATTTAGATTGTAAGTAAAATAAAGTATGATACACATATTCTTAGTAACTAGAATGTTTTTGATAGCACCTGCAAATAGGTCGAGCATATAGCACAACAACGTTAGGGTAGTTGGACCGAAGTTCGGATCAAGCGCAAATCATACAGCAAATCGTAAGTTTCGTAGCGTTAGTGATGAGTGATCGTTAATTAAAATTAATTCATTTAATAGGATCAACAGAGAGAGTGTAGGAGGAAGAAAAGGAAGCTTTATACAGTGGGAAAGGAAACCACTTTATTGTAAGTAACATCTAATATTAATAAAAATTGTAAGCTAATGATAATAAATGTTTACAGTTTGAGCGTTGCTGAAAACTAGTCAGCTGCTGTTGAAAATTTGGTTTCCCTACGGGAACATGCATATTTGTGTATGACAGTGCCAGTGGTAACAGAAGATTTTGGTACGGCTGCGTACTTTTCGAAAATCTCGAATTATCTCGACTTCGGCGTATTAAAGTTAAATTCGAGATTAAATTGAGGATAATACAGCATGGTGCTCAGCAAAATCGAGGACTATTCCAGATTGGCGTATTATCGTCGATGGAGTTTACCGTTATAAAAGAGTAACAGTTAGCCAGAGGAGAGAAAATAAAGTTTCCGGGGAAGACCTCGTGCTCTCCTTCATCTGCTTGCTCTTTTTGTACTTTGAGGAGCACGGCGGAACGTAGAACGTTCATAACCAATCAATAGGAATCTCTATGTGATCAAATGAATGTTCGTTTCTGGAATCTGTGACATTCCAGGACTCAAGATGGTGGATAATAATACAATATTGCGGACGCAGATTCAAGATTGGGGGCTTCCACAAAATAATGCTATTCAATATGCATTCCATCAAAGTGTTTTGTTACTTCAAAATAAAAGTTAACGATTTTCAGATTTGGGAGGAACTGCTATACTAACATCAACATGAAGATTTAGTGCAATAATTTATCAGCTAGAGAAAGTTCCACAGCCGCAGACAGCATATAGATTTGAGGACATACCTCAAATCCCTTCATCCATCAATTTATGAGTTAGGTAAATGAGTGCGTGTTTGATTGTCGCATTAATGGCCCTTTGCTCAATTTCAGCTTCTCTTAAATTTTCACACTGCCGTACTCAAGTGGAACTATCCTCTTCAGAACTTTCCTTAGCTAATAAATTATCCCACTAATGGGCTGTTTACACTTATGCTAGTTCATTAGCTTATACAGCTCAACAAACTAGCACGAATATCAGTTATTCCTGAAATCTCATGCTGGTAGATGTTCTCGCCCTGTTTACATTATGTTGGCTAATTTTAGTACAGTTCTAGTACACTAGAGCCAGCACAAGTGCAAACACCCCCTAAGGCTTCTTGTTGATATTAGTATAGAATTTCCTTTCAATTCTATTAAATATGGGTATCTACCGAATGGACTCGACAAGTAGAAGCTATAACTCAATGTCCATCGCCATTTTGGAATCCAGTATGGCCGTGTCACTATGAAGATGGTGGCCTCCGGACAACGAATACTCCTTTGATCCTATGTGATATGGATATCTACGCAATGCGGTTGACTAGTACAAGTTGATAATCGATGTTTGCCGGCATTTTGATAGCCAAAATAGCGCACCCAGTTTCAAGATGGTAGCCTTCTGATAGTGAATATGTTTCTAATTGCCATTCAATATTGGCATCTACAGAATGGGCTCAATGAGTAGAATTACAAGATGGCGGCCTCCGAACAATGAACTTATGAAATACAGCCAACTTTCGCTCGTTGGGCTAAACCTGTAGCCCACTTAGTGAAAGACTTTCGTTAGTTGGGCTGTGCTGTCAAGCTGAAAATTGGTTGAGGGATACACCGATTATTTATTATCATCACAATTCCTTAGCAACTATCCAAATTGTTGATACATGAGCCCCTCGAAAAAAAAATAGCGCTGTCATAAATGATGTTCGACTTCAATTTAGGTAGGCTACTACGAGTGAAATATGACTGTATGGGTATATACGGAATAGAGTTGACGATAATCGATGACCGGCACCAATTTGAAATCCAGTATGGTGGACCCGAATTAAAAATGGCAGCCTACATTCACCATATTGTATTTCAAAATTGTGCTTTAATTTGTTATCGACTGCTACTCGTTAAGAAGCAAAAGACCACGTTAATAGGTTAATACATTGCCAAAGCCGTCATAACTATTGCAATTCGTAGAGTTTTCCCCTGGCTTCGACTGATCATGCTGATAACCATTTTCCATTTTTCCATCTCCCTTTTCTCCTTCGACAGTTGTTCATCAACAACCAGTTTGTGGACGCCCAGAGCGGCAAGACCTTCCCGACCCTCAACCCGGCCACCGGCCAGAAGATCGTTGACATTGCCGAAGGTGACAAAGCCGATGTCGATGCCGCAGTTCAGGCAGCCAAGGTCGCGTTTGCCCGCAGCTCTCCATGGCGTCAGATGGATGCATCGGGTCGCGGAAAACTACTGTACAAGTTGGCTGACCTGATCGAACGGGACATCAACGTGCTGGCCAACTTGGAATCGCTGGACAATGGTAAGGCTTTCGCAGATGCGGTGTTCGACATGAACTGTGCCATCGATACGTTCCGTTACTATGCCGGCTGGGCGGATAAGATTCACGGAAGCACGATCCCTTCGGATGGTCCGGTCATGACCTACATCAGGAAGGAACCGGTTGGTGTGGTTGGTCAGATCATTCCCTGGAACTACCCGGTGCTGATGTTGACCTGGAAGTGGGCTCCGGCTCTGGCTACTGGATGCACTCTGGTACTGAAACCGGCCGAGCAGACTCCACTGAGTGCGCTCTACATGGCTGCTCTGTCGAAGGAAGCTGGTTTCCCAGATGGAGTCATCAACGTGGTCAACGGATACGGACCTACGGTGGGAGCGGCCATCGTTAACCATCCGGATATAAGGAAGGTTGCATTTACTGGATCGGTCGAAACAGGTCGTTTGATCAGCGAAGGTTCTTCCAAGTCAAACCTGAAGCGGGTATCGCTGGAACTGGGCGGCAAGAGCCCGCTTGTCATCTTCGATGATTTTAATGGTAAGTTCTGAGATTTTGTGGTTGTATAATAATTTTCATGACGCATTTTGAATTGCAGTGGACGAAGCAGTTGAGATCGCCCACAATGCGATCTTCGCAAACCACGGACAGAACTGCTGCGCCGGAAGCCGCACGTTCGTACAGGAAGGCATTTACGACGCATTTGTGGCGAAGGCCACCGAAATGGCCAAGGCTCGCAAGGTTGGTGATGCATTTGCCGAGGGTACTCAACAGGGTCCCCAGGTGGACGAAGAGCAGTTGAACAAGATTTTGGGATTCTTTGAATCGGCCAGCAAGGAGGGCGCCAAGCTTCAGACCGGTGGAAAGCGCTTCGGAAACGTTGGATACTTTGTGGAACCGACGGTATACTCCGATGTTAGCGATAGCATGAAAATCGCTCGCGAAGAAATCTTCGGCCCTGTTCAGAGCATTCTGAAGTTCAAAACCTTGGACGAGGCTATCGAGCGAGCCAACAACACCGAGTTCGGTTTGGCAGCGGGAGTCCTAACGAACAACCTCAACAACGCGTTGACGTTCGTGAACGCCGTAGAAGCTGGATCCGTTTGGTAAGTGCTTAATATCTTCAAAGCAATCAAAACACAAATCCAATTCCAACTTTATCTCATTCCGCAGGGTCAACTGTTATGATTACGTCTGCCCAACGACTCCCTTTGGTGGGTTCAAGCAATCCGGACATGGACGTGAGCTGGGATACGAAGGAATCGAACTGTACACGGAAACGAAAACCGTAACCATCAAGCTGCCATCGAAGGTCTGAAAAGGTCACAAAGGAATATTAATGAAAGTGAAATCTTCCTCCGGTGATGATCGTTTAAATAAAAACAATCCGCTCAAATCAATTAGCGTTTAAAATACATTTCTCATTATCCGCAATCCGGTCGAACCGCCCTCGTTCGATTGCTCTGTAAATGTTTTCCTTGGCACCAAGAGCGATATCCAATAAAGCACATCGCTGAACAAGAAGGATATCTGTTGTTGGTTGTTTTGGACGTTTTTTTTTATCGTTTTGACAGCAAATTAATTCACTTTCAAACAGAATCGGAAAGGCAACACAAACAGAAACACACAGTCGAAAATAAAAATGAAAGTTTGCTTCTTTGGGGTCCTTTGCACGATGATTGGTCGTGGACCTTGACAAAATTCTGGGAAAGTTGTCGAATGGAAATTAATGGATGCAATCGGCTGTCTGGACAGGTATTTTTGCGCGAGCAAGTTTGATAACGCGAAAAAAGCGGACGAAGGGTATTGGGAGAAATTTAACGAAGAAAGGACCGTAAGGGTTTTTAGTTGGAATTAATTATGTGTCATTGCTTGGTACATGGAAATCCGGCATCGACGACGCGTGTCATAAATGCGGATTTTGCTGATGATGGCGGGAAGATTTCTTGGGAAAATACGATTATTGCGTTTAAAATGGCACGAAATTTATCTGCTCGAGTAACGGAAATTGCCGGTCACAGAAGGACTTAATTCACTGCTTTAAGCAGCCACGAAAAGTAAGCGGTTGTCTCCAGGTATCTGACACGGCGCCATGTTTTTGAAGCTAACATCTCGCACATTCCAAATGTCAAAATCTGATGTGATGATGTTCTTTTTTTTTTGATTTTGATCGCTTCAAAAAATGTAGTAACTTTGCCGATATTAACCCTCCGTTACTCGCGCTGTTGTACTTTGTACAACACACATGAGTTTTCCATTGCCATTTTGTTGCTTAGTTACCAATCGATTTGAAACCAACAAGTATTCCTCAAAAAACTTGTTTTGATCTAAGCAAGCTAAAGTTTGATTACAATAAACAACTAAAAAATGCGGATAATAGAGAAAATATAAATGGAAACCGCGTAAACTGTGACCATACTACGTGGGATTTAACTTAATTGATTACAATATGGAATATATCCTGACCAGCTAGATAGTTACTGTCTTTCACAAAGTTTTTCAGGAAGTCAAAGGCTATTGCTTGGTGCTCAATAGTTCAGAATTTTCTCACTACGCGACGCTAGTATACTCGTGAAATTCTCATATAAAATATCTTGAGTTCCCAACCAGATAGAGGTCAAGGCTTTTTCGCAGGTGGACAGTAGTTCAGAGTTGTCTCACTTTGCGGCGCTACTATACATGTGAAACTCTTGTATATAAAATATCTCTAGATCCTGACCAGATAGAGAGTAAATGAATTCGGCAAAGTTTTTCAGGAGACAATAGTTCAGCTATGCGGCGCTAGTATATACGTGCCTTTCTCGCATATTCAATAGCTCGAGATCTTGATCAGCTAGAAAGTTGCTGTCTTCGGTAAAGTTTTTTAGGGGCTCAAAACTTTTTGGCTGATAAACAGCAGCGAAGAATTTTCTCACCACGTGCCGTTAGTATACATGTACACTTCTCGCATATGGTATATCTCGAGATCCTGATTAGATAGTGTTTGGTAGTCTGGTCCTGGTGAGTGGACTGTATATTATGGGGTGGATTCCTGGATTTTTTATCGTATTGTGCTATATTTGTCTCCTATCGTTCAGCAAACACGAAAGTAACACCTTGGTTCACTTTAAAACACTACATTTATTTTTACACACTATACAAAGTTTATTTTACGGAACTAAACATTTATTCTACTTATTCTACATTAAAAGAATACAAAGTGTGGCCGCTATTGCCGATTCCTTAAATTGCTATGGCCTCAATTCGCGATGGTGCCGATTTCTGCTTGTGAATTGCCGGTCATGACCCTCATATGCAGTTGCAACGATTCCATCTTCGATCAGCTGTTGAATTTCCTTCATGCTTGTATTGGTAAGCTTCGTTGACATACGGTAGATAGTTGGTTTTGATCCACAAGCCCTTGCAGCAACATCGGGGGGAACTTCAATGCGAGCGCGATCGCCGTAGTACACTTCTCAACATCAACAGATAGAAAGTTACTGTCAACGACAAAGTTGTTCAGGAGGTCAAGGTCTTTTGACTAGTGGACAGTAGTTCAGAATTTTCTAACTACGAGATATAGCATATGCGAAAAGAGTACATGTATACTAACGCCACGTAGTGAGCATTTTCTGAACTACTCCACCAACGAAAAGATCTTGACTTCCTGAAAAACTTTGCCTAAGACAGTAACTTTTCATCTGGTAAGGATCTAGAGATATTTTATATATGCGAGAATTTTACATATATACTAGCGCCGTGAAGTGAGAAAACTCTAAACTACTGTCCACCAACGAAAAGGCCTTGACCTTCTGAACAACAATGAATCGAGGAATAGTTAATATGGTGATCAGAACACGCGAACCGAAGTGTAAGCCATCTACTCAAAGACTGAGCAAGAGATAACGAAGCACCACTGTATATACAACATTGACTGAACTCACACGATAACTCTCCGAGAGCGTACTCACTCATCTTTAATAGAAGCATCTACCACATCCCCTTTTCCAGGAGAAAGATTTATTAACCCTTTCCGTATAATAAATGTTATCATGTATCTTTAACAACTATTTATCTCTAACTTATACTTATCTTGTCGAACTGTATCTCGTTGCTGGTTTATGAACTCTGCCCGTTCGTCGAATCGCCCCCGAACCTGATGACGGAGCCGGTTGGCTGTGATCCACATTATCGCCCACAGGTATGATCAAAGTAGTGTCCTTCACTGACTGCTCCATTATGTCCCGCTCGCTTTGAAGGTCATCTCGATGTCCGTTGCAGCTATCAGTCTCTTCATTCGATGAAGCAGGCAGTAGCTTAAGGTGTCATGTATTTCTATCATAAACCCGTCCGGATTCATTTGATCGAACTGTTACATTAGAGCCTCGCCGATCAATGACTGTAAATTTCTCATTTAAGAAATTCGTAGCGAGTTTGTTTGTTGGCAATAGCTTCTTCATCAGGACAGTTTCACCCACAGATATTTCACTTGCTTTTGCCTTACGTCTTTTATCCTTCCGCTCTTTCCCGAGCATTTTCATTTCATGATCTTTATCTCTAAAATCTTATCGTCAACAGTCGCTCGCCAGCTGGCAAAATAAATGGAGTGAAGGAAGTTTGGGACGATGGCTATTCTCGATCATTCCTAAGGTGTCGAAAAGTCCTTGGTTGAAGGGGTTGGATGTGGGTCGAGACTTCATTCGTCTGATGTCTCGCCTCATGTCCAATCACTATTCGTTAAACGCTCACTTGTTTCGTGTTGGGCTGGGAGACAGCAATCTCTGTGAATGTGGACAAGGTTACCAAGACGCCGATCACATCCTTTGGTCTTGTGCTGAGCATCGTGGAGTCATATCTGAGCTGTGCGATTCCCTTCGGGCTCGAGGTAGACAACCTAATGTTCCAGTTCGGGATGTTTTGGCTAGACGTGATCTGGAGTTTATGAAACTCATATATGTATACTTTAAGAATACTAACCTTAGATTGTAAGTTTGATTAACCTTGTGTTTAGTTTGTGTATTGTTCGTGTAGTTTTTTTTTTAATGTTTGTTTTCAAGATGAATAGAAATAAGTTCATGTTTTAGGATTAATTAAATATTTGTTTAATAAATCATATTTCAAACCTCCTTCTCCCTTTCCCCATCCAAAAAAATGTAAATCTCCACTAACCTCGAGACGACCGCGAGTAATCGGTTCAATTCCTTTAACTCTAGATTTAAGACATTAATCATGTATAATGCAAATGATAACTCGGCTCTGTAAAGTTTATTCGATTGAGCCTGTACAGATAAAATAATATATACAAAAAAAATCTCTAAAATCCGAGCTTGGCGGTATCGTTTCCAGGTCATCTAGCTGTGGCAATTTTGTACGCAACTTCCTGTTTTGCAAAAGTTCGCTTGGAGATTTTCCTGTAATAGTATGCGGCGTGTTGTTGTACGATTGCAATTAATTGTCCAATTCAGCTTTCCAGTTTCCGTACAGGGCATTTGCAATCTTCATCCTCTTCAGCAACGACCTATTCTGTCGCTCTACTTCTCCATTGGCCTGTGGCCAATAGGGTGATGAGTGGTTCAAGTGGATTCCATTGTTCCCACAAAACTCCTCGAACTCAGTGGACACAAATTGTTTCGCATTGTCTAGAGTAATGGTTCTTGGAGGGCCCCAAATACGAAAAACTCGTTTAAGCCTTCCGATAGTTTCCTGAGCCGTTATTTTAGTCATAATCTCTAGTTCCATGTATCGACTATAGAAGTCAACGATAACTAGTACATACTCTCCTGTTGGCATGGGACCCAGAAAATCAATTGCCACATCCACCCATGGTTTATCAGGAAGAGCACGTCGTGTCATCGGTTCCGGGGGATCAGGGACTTGTACCAGACTGCAGCCTTCACATGATTCACAGATCTTCACCACGTCCTGATCGATACCCGGCCACCAACATCGTTCCCGCAACCGTCGTTTCATCATGGACTGGCCAGGATGTCCTTCATGTGCAAGGTTGCACATTCTTTGCAGCAATGAAGAGGGTATAACTAATTTTGTCCCTCGCATTAGAAGATCATTGACATATGAATATTCATTTCGAAATACGCTGTAAGGTTTCAAATCTTCCCGATCCCATTTTTCATTCAGAATACAATCTTTAAGCTTCTGCAACTCAGGGTCTAAATTGGTGGCCTGTACAACTTCCGAAATATCAATTGCTGCACACTCTTGAATAGCTCTAATCACTGTCTCTGTTTCCGAATCAAATGCATCTCGATAACTTTCGTTACTCAGTTCAGCTACCGACACTGCTACGACGCGCCTAATGAAAACTTAAGACTCATCAATCCATTGATTGTCTGTAAAGCGCCCATTACATATGTCAATATATTGACAAACATCGTATTGTCAATTTTCCTTACAATATAAT